GCTGGTCAGGCCACACCTGGAATACTGCCTTCAGTTTTGGTCCCTGCTATGCAAAAAGATGAGGACAGGCTGGAGAAGGTCCAGAAAAGGGCCACAAAGATGATCCAAGGACTGGGAAGCCACTTGAGGAAAGGCTAAGAGAGCTGGGTTTGTTCAGCCTAAAAAGGCAGCTCAGGCGAAATTGTATCACCACGTTCTCCTGGGAAGATTCCGATTGGATGCAAGAGGAAAATTTTTCACAATGAGAATAGCCACTGGAATAATCTCCCCAGGGAAGTGGTGGACTCCCCAACACTGGCCACTTCTAAGATTCATCTAGACAGGGTACTGGGACATCTAGTCTAGGTCATGCTTTGTCAAGAAAGGTTGTATCAGATGATCCTCGGAGGTTGTTGGATGCAAGAGGAAAGTTTTTCACAATGAGAATAGCCACTGGAATAATCTCCCCAGGGAAGTGGTGGACTCCCCAACACTGGACACTTCTAATATTCAGCTGGACAGTATGCTGCACCATCTTGTCTAAACTGTGCTTTTGCAAAGAAAGATTGGACCAGATGATCCCTGAGGTCCCTTCAACCTGGCATTCTATTATTTTATGATTCTGACATTGTCAACATTTTATGTACATTTTAAGAACAAAAGTCCAAACACACTTTCCAGCCCTCAGAACTTAAAGTCCTAACATCAGTAGACATCACAGAAGATCAACTGTTATAACCCCTTTTTTTCCCAGTCTTTCAGTTTGCATATTCACTCACCTTGTGCTTCCTTAATTCCCTATTTCTGAAATGCAAGCTAATTAATCTTACTTATTTCTCAAAGGTATAAATAGATTCGTAAGTCTGAAGAGTGGAAGCTTGAATGTCTGCATTTAAAAACATTTTACTGTTCACCCTCCTTCTTGAGTACCCCAAAATTGAGTAAATTACAGAAGAAGGAAGGAGAGCTCAGTACATATTTTCTTCTCTCATCTTCCTTTATTTTATCTTTAAAAAACCCCTCTGACCAAGACTATTCAAACTGTTTCTTCATGCAACAAACCCCATGCAGCTTAGTTAGTGAAGAGTTTATACTAAATTCATCTATGCCAAAAACCCCACAATTACAGCCACTTCTCTACGCTGCTCACTCCATCGGATCACACATCATTTGCAGTGATTTGTGAGCACTCACATACAGCCAAATCGTAAAATAAATTATAAGTATTTGCTATGAATGCAGTCTTGTATTATAAATGTGTGTCACTAATTCCTGCCACTGAAGTATATAGTAAAAGATGGCACACAGACAACACCTGAGCAGTCACCCAAGTATGTTTTTCAAAATGTAACTGTACTAGGGACATTCCATAATGTAGTGAAAACCAGCCCAAAACTGTTTACTGCTGTAAGTGTAGAAAATTAGTAGTGAAACTTAAAGTAGTGATCACTAGACCTGGAATATGGCCAAAATATCTAGAACTGAAAAAAGATAAAATAAAAAGATCTGGAAACTATTTCAGAACTACAGGTTTTGACACAGTCTGAATGCTCACTTTGCTCCCCATCAAAAAGCTCAATCTTGAGAACACCACAACTGAGCTAGTAACGAATCTGTGCTTAGAGGCAGGCACCCTAAACAAGCATAACCCTTTACAACAAAGGAAGACTTTCCACAGATCACCTTCTTAATCACTGTTTCAAGCCAATCTTGCTTAGCTTGAGAGAAGTCCAACACAGCATGGTGTGTTGTGCTGTGTCCATCTGCTTATCAAATTTCTCTCCTGTTACAGCTTCCAGTGACTTGTCATTTTCAGCCTCTGCACCAGCAGCAAAAATCACTTGCTAAACTGGAAAAGCAAAGTAATCATGAAGCATAAGGATGAGCTGGGGGTGCAAGAAACACTGTGTTCCAAATCACTACAGACTCAGGAACCATGCCTCTGAAGTATGTGAAAGATGCCATCCCAGTCCTGTGACAATAATAAGGAGAATACAGCTCTGTATGTGCGTATGCTAGAAAGTAGGAGGCTGCTTTCCCCTCCACTTGTTGTTCTCTTCTCACTGAGCTTCTCCACTTGTGTACTATGAAAAGCAACCTGGTCTAGTGGAAAGTAACCCTGCCTGTGGCGGGGAGGTTGGAACTAGATGGTCTTTAAGGTCTCGTCAAACCCAAACTGTTCTAGGATTCTATGAAAACAACATTAGCAGGCAAAGAAATATATACTTAAAATCTAATTATTAAAAATGAGAATATTTATCCTCACAGTAATAGATGCCATATCTCAAACTAGGAGTAAATGAATTTCAGTGTCTATGCGAGATAATTATTTCCTGCTACCATTCATAGTAAATGACATTGTGAGGCTTTCACAGTACACAGCAAAAAAACAGGTAATTTTCAGACAGATCAATCTCAGTATTTTTCATATCCATTGATCTTGACATAGATACAGACACAGATAAAAACAAAGAGGAAGACTTTCAGTGGCGTTAATGAATTCTACGCAACAAATGTACAAACTTGTGTGACAATTAAATTGTGTTGGCTACCTGTGTCACAGAAAACGTGTTAATTTTTTGATGTCACAATAAATTCACATCATACAGCACACCAGCCAGGAGCTAATCAGGTACTACTTCTGTGAAATTTAGTGCAGGGTTAGCAAGAGGGTAGTTAAGATAAGATGCCTTTGTGAGAACAAGCCACAAGCAACACTAGGTTTGCCTTCTAGTACAGTATTCTCCTCCCCCTGCTAAAAGCATCACTAAGAGGGGTGGGAGGACTCACCACACCGTCACTCTGTGGCTTAGGTTGTTTGGTAGGATCCAAAGCAAAGATAGTATACTCAGAGAGAAAAGCAGGTTCTGCTATCATCCCGGCTAGCAGCTGTCATTCAATGCAAAAAGTAGGAAAATGAAAATAAATCAAGTAATAAGGTAATGAATGTCGCACGATTTTACTCAGTTTTCCACATTATTCAAAATATCACAATGCAGCCATTTACAAGACAACAGATATCGATAAAGGCAGGACATAACCAGAAAATATGCACTAGATCACTTCAGAACAGCCAAAACACACTGTATCAAAATGAAATTGCAAAATAATTCCCTCCCAGTAGCCAGAACATTTCATACTTCAAATAGGTACCAATAGCAGAATATACCCAGTCATGGTGCAAGAGCGGTATGGCTGCATCTTCTCATTAGTGAGTTCATCCTCCATTCTCAGATGCTGGGTACCCAACAGTTAAAATACTTAAGTACTTGCTCACAATATTTTTGTTACACTGCTACATCTTTACAGCTGAATTACAGGCAGAGCTGTCTAATGAGTCCTATAATTACACTACCTAATGCTTTCCAATACATACATGTGTTTTTACCTGCACTTTTTAATTTCTGTAATCACCTATTCAGCAAGGCTTTAAAACCAGCTGTTTAGTGAACTTGGGGGTGGGGAAGAGAGTATTAAAAGTCACTAAAAATTATTCACATATGCCTGGAAAAAAGGCAAGAAACAACCTGTTACTCTGTCAAAATTAAGCAGATATAAATATTTCCACAATGGATGTGGCCTAAAACCTACTCTGAATTTTCAGTCTCAGTGGCTTCAGAAACATTAAACATATCTGGTGCTATAATGTCTAATGTATCACTTGCACCACATTAGTGCTATGCCAGTGATATGATCAATAAAACTAGACAAGCAGGGAATCCAACTGGGCTGAAGCATACCGGAAACAGCCACAATGTGCAAAGATGTAAATAATCCTTTAAGTAACCTTCTCTAATCCTCTAAGTGCCATCAAAGCACACTTGAAGCTTGCAACAGAAATCCTACTAAGATCTTCAAACCTTCTGCTTCAAACATACTTCAGAGTAAATGAACACCCTACCCCATAACGACCTTCATTTCAGGCACCAAATTAAGGCTGTGGTATTGCTGATCTTTTGTCACAATATTTAACTTCTTTTTTGCAGTAAAATCTTACTAACCAGTGAATGCATCAGGAGTTGTAAAATCCAGGCTGTGGATACAAACTAGGTTATACAGCCTCCAAAATTTAGTTTTAAATTTGCATATTAGAAAGGAAAAAAATAGGGACATACCTAAACCACTACCAACTTTGCACGGCAATGTCTGTTTAGAAGTACTTCAAATTAAGTGTATGAATACAGGAAAGATGCAGCATTAGCAAAGGTACTGAAGGAATATTATTTCAGCTTTACCTATCTTGCTTTATTAATAGCCCATGCTAGGAAAACATTTAAATTCACTTAAAACCAGAGTCATTACATAGCACTAGAGGGAGACTGAAAAGTACCTTGGCTAGTTTATCTTTAGCTCTAAGGAGAGCTATATATACTGTGCTCTGCTGTCAATTCCATAACACTCATGAGGATGTGAGTGATATTTGATCTGCATGACTGGGAAGTCACACAGCAAGCTATCAGCTGTTTGCTCTCAGCTGATGGCTCCAAACTAGTTTTATCTTCTGCAGGTGGACCTGACTTGCAAACAAATATATATAACATAGAACAGAAACTTATCTGAACTTCTAGGTACTATAATGAATATGATTGATGTATTTCACCTCAAATTCTGTTTGAGAGTCAATGCAGTAACAGTTTGAAAACCAAACTTCTTCCCTAGAAAAGACTGGAAGCACTAAGTAAGCATGTTTTAATCATCCAGGGCTGTTTCAAATGACACCAAGACTAACTTAGAAAGCATCTGATATGTAAATTGTCTGAAGAGGTTCTGTGCAAGTACCAGTATATGCTTTTGCCTAACACTGTACTCATATTTTATGACCTACTTTCAAGAACAGAATACAGAACTAGACAGATTTCTGCTTCTTCCTTATACATGGTAAGATTATGAGCTTCTCTAACACTGCCTCCGGAGATCCACAGCTCCACTAAAATAGAAGCTGAAAAAGAAGCTTACCTTGTATTCCATGAATGGAGCACATAAGTTTGTTGGTTATTTTTAAACACTGAGAATGTTTTAGAATCTTGAAAACTAAAACCACCTTATCATTGCAGAATATAAAGCAAAAATGTTTGCCTGTACCATTTATTCTTATTCTTTGAGCAGACTAATGCTGTCATTTACAACTGTAATGCACTCTGAAATTGGTTTCATTCCAAAAATATTCCAAGTTGAAATCAAAGCTTTCACATGCAATACTTGCAACTTTGGTATTACAGCACTAAAAAAAATGAAGACATGATCTGTTAAAGACATACTAAAACATAACAGCCCAGAGGGAGGACAGAGAACATACAAGACAACTATGAAACACTGTAATTTTGCTTAGCTTTCAGTCTCAAAAGGGTTAGCAACTACTTGTGTGCTACAAGAACGTTTTAGTATATGGTACTCTTCAAACAAACATTTTCAATGTATTAAATGTTGTCTAACTGCAGTTCATTGTAATGCCACTGCCCTCTGTACATGAAACATCTGCTTGGTCAAATGAGAACACTGC